TTCTTTTTTCAGGTTTACCCAACCAACCCTTCATCCATATGCAATCCTAGTGGTCTAATTTATCAGCATGCACTATGACATCAAAGCCTTATGACGAAAGCATACAACCCAAGGTCACAGCTGCACTGCCCGCCCTACCTTCAGAAATACTGGAAGATCCAAACAACAGCCGAATAGTTTCTACTCTCGAAGTGAGCTTGCTTCAGTATGATGAACGGTTGTGCTGGTGTTTATTTGTTTCATTCTTTGCTGTCCGCAAGGCATTAACGTTCTTCCTCTAGACGCATCTTTAGTGTTCCGGGAAAAACGGCGTCTGTTGTATAGCTTGACATTGTACATAACAGTCAGTTCACATTACCAAAGTGATCGAACCTGTAAACTCGTTTGTTTTCATGTAACTTATGCTGTGTGAAATATATTATTATTATTAATTCTATCGTGGGTGCTTTCACCAAATTTCAACAGCTTCCCACAACAGCATCTGGAGTTGGAACCTTTTATCTTCCATCTTCTGCCAACTGAGAAAAGACTTACTGAGCCTAAAATGCACCCACTAGAGATAACTTTAGCGTAAAATTTAGAGTAATAGATAGTATCACCTTGTGTATCCTCAGCGATATATTGAAACACCACAGGGATGTCCGTATTGGTTGGTGGAATCAGAAACACCTGTGAACACTCGACGGACCAAATACTTAATTTTAGGTGCACTACCATTCTCAGAAGATGCAACAGAAATCAAACTTATAACTTGGCAGGCTAGATTTCAGGTGCAACCTTAACTTCTTAAGAGTTTGTGGGTCCTAGAATGCGGTCACTACAGAAGTCTAAGCATAAATGCTGCCAATATGGACTACTAACGGTTTCTATTTCCATCCAATACAACAAGTATTGCCGGTGGAAGTAATCTATATTACCTTTAGACGTAACATGGTCAACCGGAAATGCATCGATTTAAACGCTCGCCTTGGTTATATAACTGTGGATCCTTTACCGATGCTCCAGATCGTATACATGGGTCCTTTGTGGTTAACGAAGCTAAATACTGAAGAACTTTCTAATGAACGGACGGTTATGTTGCTAAATAACAAACTATGCAAATGGACTAACAACGTCGGCTGGTTACAGAGTAAACTTTGAACATCGCGCGCTTTTGGTCCTACTGGTGGAACCTATCTGTGTGATGGGCGATGAAAATCCATGCCCGTCTCATGAATTGCGACATCTTTTAATAAGATCGATGGCTTGATATGTGAATTATTGAACACTAAATGCGATTTTGTAAACTTTCAGGAATTAACAATTTGATGGTGCTTGTAAACTGGTATCTCTCACGTTAAATCCACTACGTGAGGATAAAGATTACCATTATTATCTCAACTTTAACACTCCACACACGCCGAAGGTGACATTTTCTTGTTCGTTTCATAACTAGCAGGATCCTTTGATGTTTTTAATCGAGTTAAACGGCATACCCTCCGTGCCACTCAGGACTCGTAAAATCTTGTTTATTTTTCGACATGTATCAATGTGATGATGCCTGTAAACTGGCTTCTCTCATGTTGCATTACGAAAGTGGGAACAAAACATTTATATTTGCATGAGTGATTTAGGCTACTCAGTCATTATGAGGCCGAGTTAAGTCGCAACTGGCTTGTTCTCCTCAATTAACCAGTGTCGTTTTATCTTCGTTTTTCCGTACGGTAGTTGACAGAAGGAAAAAATTATGGTTCACTGCTTGTGGAGATAGAATTAATGTAAGCGAACGTACTGTTCCCATGCTGTCACCGATCATCTGGAATTGTCCGAAGGCATCGGGCGTTATTCGGCGGCCTTCTGTCATTTCCCCGCAAAGGATTGGGATAGTCTGTTTATTTCATACAGGTTACAAAGTCATTACAGGCGACAGTGTGATTTTTTGGCATGTGTGTTACTTTGCCAGCCATCTAATACCTTCATACTTTGTATCTACAGTACTGCTGCGGTTATAACTTCCGTCACTCCTTCTTCTTAATAAATAAATAAATAAATATCTTTATCCTCGAGTTATGAAGTCAATACTTTCGAACACTTCATCGCCACTGAGATGTTGAGCTTCAATGCCCACTTATTTTTCCATCAGTCTTAAGCGTGAGTGTGGGCAATAGTGAGAACATCATCTACTGGTGAGGAAGAGGTCCAGTTGACAAGTCGCAGATGGGGGAAAACGCGCCTCCCGGGTCCCATTAGAATTCACTATCCATCATCAACCTGAAAACTGAAAATGCCTGTATTGTCGAGATATCTGCCAGAGAGCTGATATGCAAGTAGTGGCCAGTCACTTTATCTCAGTCAATGGAAGGGGTTTGCGGCCTATCACTTCAAAAATTTGGTGCAGTCCTTTTAGATCATAGGTCTTTGAGTGCAGTCGACTTTATAGTTCTGTCCGGGACAGAAATCCACTGTCACTCAGTCGATCGACAAGCCCTCAGACACTTTCCGTAGTACCCTTCCCGCGTACTAGATACAGGTGGCCTATGAATGAACTCAAAGGGAACAGGGATTTTTGTGGGGTTCGCCCATCCTACCATCTCCCGAGCTTTTCCTCCGTTCCGATCTTCAGTGACCTTCAACGACTCTTCGTTGAGTTTCCTTCTTTCAAAAAGCAGCATCTTTGCCACCGCTAGCAAAATACTTTTGGCGTCACCGGGAACATCCACGAATCACTATCAGCACGTTCAACGATCCAATCAGCTAGTTACTAGGATTACAGACGTGTGTAGAATCCTGGACGTCTGACCAACCAAAAGAGATGGGAAGACCACTTCTATGGTGAGATTCAGACTTGCAGTTTGACAATAGTAGACAATGTGCTTATATTTGTCTTTCTAGAGTGGATCGCTATGCCCACTGAGTACTCAAGTAACGGGCCAGTCGATGCAAATGACCACCATTTCTTCTGAAATTCGCTTCAAAGGGTTGCTCGCCCAGCACACAAACCATCGCCTGACAGAGGAAGCTTTTTTACGCTTTTCTATCCTTCTGTACTCTTCGTGCACTTTATTGGTAAGCAGCACTCAGCATGTTCCCGCCCCCGCACCTGGAGGCTCAGCCAGCCGGCCGGACGATGGAGAGGGTTGACGAAGTGTGTTCTAAGCGGATAGCATAAATTGCATCTATACGAATACGCAAAGTTTACCGAACAAACCAGACGAGCTATGGTAACCAGGTAGGGATACCTACGCTCATCCTGTAGGTGTCACCGAAACATGGGTTCCTCCTAACATGTGGAATAAGGAGCTGGCAGCTGCTAACAACACGTTGTTTGGCTGTAAAAGGAAGGCTGGTAGGCGGATGGGATAGCACTTTACACCGGTTCTTCTCTCTCATCCCACCAAATTGACAGTCAAGAATTGGAACGACTCGAGGAGTTCATCTGGTGCATCATAAAGCTGTCCAGGGCCATAAATTGCTTGGTTGAAGTCACTTATGGCAGTCGTACGGACTTACAGTGTGACGCTCAGGTGCCAGAGGCAGTCAGTCGCTCTCTTAAAATTGGACACTAGCACATACTAATTTCAGGTGACTTCGGGATACTGAGGGTTAACCTTGCAGATTACAAGTTTAGCTGGAGTGATGATTCCATGGACGCCCGATTCTTCAATCTGACTGAGAAACTGAGGCCTGAGGAAGGTGTGAGAGTGGAAAAGTGATCGGGAGAGACTGAAACCCTATCTCGCTTAGACTGCATCTTCACAAATGAAGAATTTTTGATATGCGACCTGGCCACCATTCTCCCCCCCCATTAGGTGGGAGTGACCACCTTGTTATCAGCTTCCAACAAGCATGCGAAACCGTTCTATCAGGCCTTTCAGTGAGCGTCTTTTGAACTTCAGACAACTTAACATTCCGGCCCTTCGAATGGAGCTGGAACAGAAAGATTGGAAGGTTAACCATGTATACCAGAGTGTTGACACCCATTGGAGATTCATGCCTGACAAAATCATGCATGCAGTTGACTAGCCTGTTTCACCTTCAAGACCGAAGTTTTCCAAATTGCCTAAGGCAACACAGAACTACACTCACGAACCGATTATGCTAAAAAGACACCGCTGGGCTGAACACAAAATGACCAAGGCCGAATATGCTCACAGCTTATTCAAATAGACAAGAGGCACACGTACGAAGGCATTAAGAGTCGATGGGCAACGGTATAAAGTTACGCTTGCAAACATGTTTTTTCTAACCGAAGTATTCTGTCACCCAGTACTGCATTGTTTCGGCAGGTTAAAGAGGGGAGGTTCTTAGGTACTAGGTACCAACGGACCGATCAGTAGCGACACTGAGGCAGATTGGCTCCTGGCTGACCGGCATTTGAAAATCTTCTCGTCATCGACCACCTATTCAGGAATCCACGAGTGTCACACTAACGAAATAAATCCGGATCGTTGACTTACAGCTCCCTACAGCTTCGTTTGGGGTTCGGGACCGTCGCCTCCCCCTATTCTGGCTGCATTGGATCTGTATCCTTTGGAACATGGAAGGCTGGGAGGAGACTTGATAATGGCACACAACATTCTGAGCAACTTTGGATACCCACTTCGTCACTGACTGAATCTTAGCCGTAGTACGAATCTTAGAGGACACAGAAACGGCTTGGAACACAGCAGGTCAGATATCAGGCACAACCTCTATTCCCTAAGATCAGGTATACCCTAGAATGCTCTTCCAGCGGACGTGATCCAGGTCATTTTGTCTGAATCTGACCATTTATCCTTTGAGGTGCTCCGACCTAGTTGGAGAGAAAAGAGAAGATAGATCAGGTCCAAAATCCCTCGCTAGTATACCGTATGACATGATCAGATCTCCCTTCTACTTCTTCAAGCTTCCTAGCATTCAAAGCAAGATGCACTCGCAACCGTGAAATCTAAGATGCTCCCTGTGAAGTTCGAATCTGCGTCAGTCAGTGTTACAGTCAGCGGCGTTTATGCTGACGGTTACACTTAAACTCGGGAGGCAAACAGTAGGTTGGGGCCACTGGAGAACCTTATATGAGGTCTAAGCTTCCAGGAATATATGTGAGATAACTTCTTAGTTTAATTGTATCAGTGAAACACGTAATTCCAAATTTGGGCGGGGAAATAACATGGTCCCCACTTTTTGTTTTTGAAATGAGTAGTGACAGTGAGAAAGATGAAGCAATCGTAAGGATTGAAAATGTGCTGCAAGATTTTGATGAAGAGGACTGTATAGTTATGGGTGGGATTGATGACAAGTCTGTGTGTACATTTACAAGGGTGAGTCATACTTGTGTTTAACTATTATGAGTTTAGGGTTATGTAAAAAGACAGGCTCTTTACACCTGCCGAACTTGTCTGGATATTGATGAAGTGAAAGCTGGTATTTGCTTTCCATGTGCAATACAGTGTCATGCTGGCCATGATTTGGTCGAATTGTACACCAAACGCTCTTTTAGGTGTGACTGCGGCAACATCAAATTCGCAGGTGTGTGTGAGTGCATTTTGTGGGAGGTAATGCATGTCTAATTCTAAATTTCACAGGAAAAAGATGATGAGAATGGTTTGAATCAATACAACGACAACTTCTCTAACCGTTATTGCACGTGCCAGCGTTCCTACCCGGATCCTAATTATAACGTATTGATCAAATTATATTCACATTTCCGTTCTAGGGCACCGAAGAGATGATACAATGCGGAGTTTGTGAGAACTGGTATCACTTGGAGGTATTTTGCACCCAACTAAAAAACCCTTGCTTAGCACCTCAATATGGATGCTAACTTCAGAACTCCTGATAATTATGAAGAGATGACATGTTTCATTTGTCTCCAGAAGAACACATTCTTGTTTTTACAGGCGTATAACACTGAAGCTATGTTTCGTCAGTCTTGTGAGACAGGTTCTAATACTAAGTGTAGCACCCTTGTTCATCCTAACTTTACTCCTGAGCTAAAGAAGTTGAGAAGGTCGGAATCCGATGAGAGTGAGAAGTCAGAAGATAACTCTGCCTGTCGTCTTGCCATTTGGGCGAACAAAATGAACTGTCATACCCCCGACTTCCGATATTTGTCTGTTGAGTGTTTGGACGGCGTCGACCATAAGCGGATCCCATCTGTATTTTGGGTCTCAGGTTGGAGAAATTTTCTATGTCGGTGTGAGGAGTGCAGGGTAAGTGATGGAAAAAATCCGTTTAATATTTATATAGGTAGTGCTCCTGTCAATTGTATTATAATCTAATTTCCGTGAGTAGTTGATAACTAAGTTGTGGAAAACTGCTAGTATAGTTTTCATTTCCTATGCACGGTTTTTTTGACTGTAGGGTAGTTCACTGTCTTTAGAAAGGCACGTAGTTCAACTACTCACAACGCTATTGCCTATTGTTTGCCTGATTTAACTACTAGTGGTATAAAGAATCGAATTAACGGATGTATTGAATTCAGCTACTGCTGGAGTCAACTTACGTACTTTACGAGCTGAACAAAATAAAAATTAAAGACAGTTCCTGACCTACTAGCATCCGAACTATTTCTGTTAATTAATTAGTTTCATCGTCTTATATATGCTGAAGCTTATGTTCTAACACAAGTGGAAAATCCCTAAATCTGAGTTCACAAATAAGTTTGTATTGTCCTAACCGAATCACTCTGGTTACCTCAATGAAATTGCAGATACAGATGTGTTTAGACCTTCGCACTGATAAATTTAATGATCATTATTATCGGTAATATGTTTTCAAGAATTCAGTTCAGATGAGTGAATGCGTGTGTACCTCTTTGTAACTCAGATTGGTGAGCATTTCTATATTTACTAGATATTTACGTATGATAGTACACCTCACCATTATTATTATTATTATTAGTCCCTTGGGTTCCTAGTGAAACATAGGGCTTCAGTAGCACGTCTTCAGTGAACTCTGTTCTCTGAGATCTTTTGAACCTGGCCCCACGACAGCCCAGAAGCTCTCATTCTCTCCTCGCACGACCTCCATGTCACCATCGGACGTCCAACTCGTCGCTTCCCATGGGGATTCTACTCGAGGGCCTGACGCGTGATGTCCTCAGTCGGCCTTCTCAGTGCACGCCCAATCCATCTCCACTTCCTTCTACATATATGTTGAGCGATAGGTTCTTGGTTGGTTCGTTCCCAGAGCTCCTTGTTGCTTATTCTTATTATTCTGGCCATCTGATCTTCAGTAGTGAGCGTAAGCAGTTGTTGATGAATGTCTGTAGTTTATTGGAAATCCCTTTCGTGACGCGTCAAGTCCCTGAACCATACAGAAGCACTGACTTGACGTTGTTTGTTGAAAATCCGCATCCTGTTCCACATGCTGAGTGCAGAAGATCTCCACACTGGTTTCAGGCTAATGAACGCCTGTCTTGCTTTTCCGATTCTGACTTTGACACCTTCGTCTGTGCCGCTACCTGTAGTTGAAACAGTGCTGCCTAGATAGGTGAAGGAGGTTACTTCCTTTAAGTTTCTTCCGTTGACGGTGATTGGAGTTTGTTGTTGGTGGTAGTGGTGAGGTATCTTCATCACTTCTGTCTTCTCTATATTCACTTGAAGTCCCGTCTTCGCTGCCCTGCCTCTTCTATCAACTTGTTAGTTTTCGCCTGTAGATCTTCAAGTTTATGTGACATCAGGCACAAGTCATCGGCGAAATCCAGATCTTCTAGGTTCTTTTCCCCAGTCCAGCCAGCGTATTCCCCTCTTCTCGCTTCCCATTGTTTGCTGCATGATCCAGTCCACCACAATCAGGAATATCATGGGGGATAGTAGGCGGCAACCTTGTTTTACTCCTGTCTTCACTTCAAAAGCATCACTGAGCTTTCCATTGTGAATTACTTGGCTGGCATGTGGCATCTTCATATAGTTGTTGAATGAGGCGGATAAAGGTTTGCGGTATTCCGTAGTATTGAAGCAGTTTCCAAATTACTTCTCGGTCGACGCTGTCAAAGGCCTTCTCAAAGTCGATGAAGTTGAGGTAGAGAGCTGATTGCTATTCTATGCTCTGTTCTATGATGATGCGTCGTGTAGCGTTGCAATTTGGTCCGCACATGATTTGTACTTCCTGAATCCAGCCAGCCAGCCTGTTCCGGTCGTAGTTTTGAATCCAGTGCATCTTTAAGCCTCTCCAGGATGATGCGGCTTAATATTTTGCTTGCATTGGGTGGACCGGAGAGTTATTCCGCTCCAGTTCTTGCAAACACTGAGGTCTCCTTTCTTCGGCAGTTTGACAAGGTAACCCTTCTTCCGATCAATGGGCAGGTACCTTCTCTTCCTTCCACACCTTCTGCAATAATGGTGTGGTGTGAGCATATCCGCTGTTGTCTCTGTGTCTGTTTTCAGTGCTTCTGGTGGGATCCCATCTGGTCGTGCTGCTTTCCCGCATTTGAGTAGCTTAATGGCGTTCAGGACTTCCATTTTTGTTGGAGGATTTATGTTCACTTGTAGTTGTTCAGCGGCTGGGCTGTTGGTGGTATTTCTGGATGGAGTGCAGGTGGTGGTGGATTCAAGAGCTTCTTGAAGTGGTCGGCCCATTGTTTCCTCTGTTTCTCTTCTTTCGTAATTAAATTTCCGTCATCATCTTTTATTGGTTTCGTCTGCTTTGATCTCTTCCCAGATAGCAACCTGGTTATTTGATACAATGTTGTCAGGTCTCTGTGTCTCCTACCTGCAGCCTGTTCTGCTTCACTTGCCAGAGTTTTGTAGAAGTGTCTTTTGTCTTTGCATGCACTCTTCTTAGCTTCTTTGTCCCGTGTATTGTTTTATACATTGTACTCAGTTCCTCTTGTCGTTGAGCATCCTTGCACTGGTTTATCTTCTGCTTCACCATCCTCCTATCCCTGCTCTATCAGCTTCCATGTATCCATTGAGATCCATTCCTTGTCTTCTTTCTTCTTCCTTCCTAATACTGTTGTGCAGGTTTCTTCCCACATCTCTTTCAAAGACTTCCAGTGTTCTTCCACACAGGTTTCTTCAGGGATGTTCCTCGATATCTCCCATTTTGTCTTGATGGCTGACTGACGTGAAGATTTACTTTGCAGTTTCGTCCTTCAGTTTCCGAGTGTTGTACTTGAACTGCGGTCTATCACCAGCTTCATTGAAGGCTTTTAACTTGATTTGGAAGTTAGGTTCCTTGCAGTAGATAATGAGTGGTGTGAACCTGCATCTGCTCCTCTTCTTGCCCTTGTGTCAAGTAGACTGCATCTCCATTTTCTTGAGATTGAGATAAAGTCGATTTGATTTTTAGTGTGTCCATCTGGTGAAATCCATGTCGCTGACTTGTGGATATCCTTGTGCCTGAACACACTGCCTGACTGCAATCACCAAATCGTTGAATGCACAGAATTCTGCAAACAATTCTCCATTCTCGTTCATCACCTCACCGAGCGCTTCTCGACCCATGGTTAGTTCTCTTCCTGTGTTGTCTGCTCCCAGTTTGGCATTCATGTCGCCCATTAGAATTTTGATATCGCCAACTAGGGAGGGGTCTTGTCCAGTGTTGATTGAAGTTGTCTGTAGAATTCCTCCTTTTTCTCTTGCTCTGCATTATTTGTAGGTGCGTGGAGTAGCATTGTATGATTGTGACCTTCCTTCCTTCCTTTTGAGTTGAACCTTGCTGTCATGATCCGGATCCTGGAGGAGATTGGTTCCCAGTGCATGAGAGCCTTCGATGGTGTTGGAGACATCATGATAGCCACTCCAAAACTCAGTGTGTTGTGCTCGTGGTTGTCGTCTGGGTGACAATGGTGGAGTAGATTATTGATTCTCCAGTTGACAGTTTGGAGAGTCCACTCCCATTCCATCTGCTTTCGCATATTCCAAGCATTTCAATGTGATACCTCTTCATCTCGTTTGCAATCTGGGCTGCCTTGCTTGGTTCAAACATGGTGCGGACATTCCATGTCCCCACGTTTACTTTCGCTTTCATCGGTTGAGAGAAGACACATCGGTCAATTGGCTTCCTGAAGGCTTTCACCAAGTGGCGTCATTTCGCCTCTCCGATTCCAGCGAGGAATAATTTTGTTCTCATTTTTTATATATTGTTTGTGCTTTGAAGTTTGTTTAGCGGTTAGATTTGTTTTCCGGAGTAGGGTTGCCAGCCCTATGTCCAACCTTCCCTGTTTACCCGGGCTTAGGAGGGGCTAGTAACTAGTGAACTAGTTAACCAGGCGAGGTTACCTCACCATGAAGCTTGGTATATTTAGCCTGCTGTGGATATCCCGGTAAGAACCACCTGCAACCAAAGGTTAACGTTAGAATTATCAGAACTGAGTGGTATGGTACGATTCTTCCCAACTTTTCCTTGATTTGATGAGAAGCTAAATATGTCGAGCATAGACTAAGAACTTTCATAATGGTCCTAAGCAGTAATGGTTGACAAAAGTGAATATCGAAAAAATTGACGTTAAGTTACAATTGGCAGTTAATCAAGCCTTGTAAAAAGATTGGCCGTAAAAATATGTTGAAATATAACTGAGGAGCGTAGGTTGGTGGTTACTTCGAAACAGGTGACTGGAAAGTTGAGTAGAATAATTGTGGAAAACAAACTGATCGATCCAGGTCATTCAGACTAGCAGAGCACAAAAAAAAATAAGTCTGGAACATTAAACTAGAATATGTCAATTTAAAAAACCCTTAGCTGTTGCTATGTGACGGTGTCACACAAATATTTGGGACTAAGATACGAAAAATGAAGACCCCTATACTGCTATGATTATGAGTAGAGAACCCTGATTAGAATAACGTGTTTGGTCGGTACTCCTTTCACAACCTTATACTGCCACAATACCTCTCAATAGATTGGGCCGGATTTCGCCTTCAACTAAGGAAATATTGCAAGCGTCGACCACCGGTAAGTGTGGCTTTGTTCTATAACGTTTCGAAAGGTGAAATTTTGACTGATGTGCTTTCGTCCGGGTCTGAAACCTGCCTGATCTTCGAGTTCGTTGTTCTCGAACTGCGGTTAGGGGTCGTTTGACTGCCCGCTGTAGGTTTTTGAGCATGATAGTTAAACTGGTTCTCCTATAATTGTACCAAAAACTCTTCTCCTTTCTTACAAACTAGGTTAACGATCTAAGCCAGTCTCATGGAACTATCTTTGAACCCTTTACACTAGCTGTCACGGCATATATGTTAGTCTACTCAGTAATCTCCTACGTCTATGCTTAGAACATTTTGATGGAAAACCATCTTGTTTCTTTGTATCCTTTCAGGTTTGAAACATGGTGACGTACAAATGTCTTCTCAGCATTGCTTGCGTTTGGTGGGACGACCGTATGAGCAATGCTGAAGTCAGGGGAAGGGTACTAGGCAAGACAGGCAAGTCGATTGATGAGGTTCTGAACCCTACTCGACTGAGATGGCTTGAACAGGTACTGCACATGCCTACCTACCGCCTACCTTGACATGTTATGCTAAAGAAAGTTGGATTAGGTTGGGAGAGGGTTCAGGGTGGCCAGACTAGGAAATGGCGTCAACTAGTGAAGTCTCAATATTGTTAATGAGCCATGTGATATGTAGACTGCCTGGTTGGGGTCCTCAAGACAAAAAGAATGAACAGTTGAGGACTTTGTGATATGGCTGGAAATCGGTCACAATAGTGCCGATATATTCACTTGAGATCTAAAGCTTGAATATTTGCATTAACCTTTATCTCATGCAGTGTTTTCTTTGATGTTACTATTTTCTATCGACCTGTTCTATGTGTACTACTGTGTAATATGGCAACTGGAACTGATGCGCTTGTGTGCAAGTTCTACCTTGATCCTATCAGTTAGTCAGCTGACGGTCACTATTCACGCCTGAACTTGGTAGTGAGCTGGGACAAGTGTTACGCATGCTTAATCACCTGCATCGTCGCGCAATGTTGGCTGAAGTAGGTTCAGGCTGGAAAAGGGCTCGAGTCGGTCAGACTGAAGCATGACATCACTGCATAAGAACCTTGACTGCTGGTTTGAAACATGTTGGGGGATGCAGACTAGCTGGTTGGAGTCCACTGGAGAACGGAAACTAGTGGTTGGAGACTGTAAGTGACACTACTTGAAATCGATGTCAGTATCGTAGATGCATCTACACCTTATCTCCATCTTAACGGTTAAACTGAATTCATTATTTTCTCATTCCTCCTTCCTTTGTTTTACTGCTTTCTACGGCTTTTGACCGACTCTTCTCTCATTTTTCATCTTAATGCTCTGTTACTTGTGCTGATATGAGGTATGGCGAATTGGATTGTTATACAGTAATGCCTAGTCTTGTATTGGTATTAATTGATTAGAAATGAGCAAATTAATCGCGACTGTAAACAGTTTAACTCTCCTTGAAGAGTGCCTCGTCTAACGTTTTAGCCACTTGTTCTGAGAGGCTGGCGTATGCCCATCTTTTTGGTAATGGTCTCACTGACCATTATCTTGCTAATATCTTTAATAAGCCTAAACTACTGCCGAGTATTTTCGAATACTGTTTTCTCCACCCACCAATGCTCACGGACATTACAAGGACTAAGTCAATTTACGATCCAGTAGCTTTCGCTGCTCATTGTGGTCAGAGCCATATTAAATGACTCTTCGCATCAACTAGTTTCAATCAAGAAATCCACTGGCTTTCGCTAACCTTGTGTAGTTTACCAATTGTCTTCACCCTTTTTCCCACAACAAACTTAATTATTCACCGGCTTCATCACGAAGATTGTTGCCACAGTGCTCAGATAAATGTTTGGTTATCTCCTCCCTAAATACACACTTAACGTTCTCATCTTCCAGTTGATTACACAGGCTTCAATACCGTTTGCTTCCTGTGTCTAGTGAAGTGTAAATATACATGTGCCCATACTAACACGTCGTCGTAGTCCAGGAAGGTAATCCAGAAAAAAGCGATCCTCTCCAACGGTAGCTGATAGCGGCATGCTCTCTGTGTCCATCGTTGGTTAACATCAAGACATTGCCACTTCTTATGACTGGAGTTAGTGATTGTTGGAAGGAATTTGTAATAGATAGCCACGGTTGTTGATTCGTAAACGTGCGATTTCGTAGATACCTTCAATATGCTGTCCCAATTAGTTGAGCCTTCTTGAGCATTGAAGTCGCCTGTCAGTATACCCGTATCTGAATGTTTTGTTATATTTTGTAAAGCTAAGAGCTTTCAGTAAAACTCATTCTTTGCATCGTCCGAACCGCAGTCAATGGAGCGTAGGGAGAGTGTCACCGTCATTTTGAGTCCTACTGATCCATGTAGTCGGCCTGCCTTCAACGAACTTGGACTAGTGTCCAGTTGAGTAGTTTACTTTCTGCTCCGCAATATAATGTAACACTACCACTAGCGAGTTAACGGGAGCTAGCCATTGATCTCCGGACACTCGTAAGGTGGATTTTTTTGATTCACCTCATTGAGGAACTAAAATCAAGTGATCAACCACACTTGAGAAACAATGCACATTCATTGCTTGGGACTCCACAGTTTTTGCAAATATGGCGTATGTTATACTGTCTCATTTTTCAGCAGACAACCTTAAATAGCCACATTCCTGTCAGTAGATGTCATTTAGAACAGCATTTGACCGGGGATTCTTGCTTTAGATCTTATGCGATTACTTAAATGTTAGCATAACAGACTGAAACAAATAAATATATGAGGATTCTTGCTGTTGTCAGCATACTTTCCATTATTGGTAGTAAAATGACTATTGTTTGTATCACTGTGTATTGGTCATCGCATGCTTCTGTAGCCTCCATGCACCTTTATATAGTAATTCGTAATGGTTCAACTTCCCCATATGAGAACTCACATCCGACTTTCCCATTTCAGAAAATGTATAAACATTTCAAAGTCGAATTTCTTTTGGATCCTGAAGACTCAATGTCTCACTATTTGCAGTTGGCAAAAGAAAGAACAAAGTCAATTAATGAAGAAGAAAAGCGTGCTCTGAGTGAAGCTTTGTCAGAGTTACCACATCCTGTGGCAGTGAACTTCGCAACAGGTAAGCGTGGAAGCTTTTTTCAGTCATTAGTTCAGGACATTACAGTACCTCCATTGTGACCGAAGTAGTAGCATAGTTGATTCGCGTAGCATAATTCTTTAATTAACATACCGTTGGCATTTCATAATCATAAACCTTATATATGCGGCAGTAGTTTCTGGTAAAGTATTCATCGGGCAGTTAGTGTACGTAATCGCAAGAATAGTCGTACTCATTCGGAATGTCCTATAAATTCATCTTTTGTGTTAATTTCCAATTCAAGAATACTATATTGCCAACTTCCGCATTCCACTTTTCACATTAGTGAGATCTCAGTCTATGTTTCACTGTAGATCATTTGGATGAACCTGAGATATATTTATTATGTTAAGGTAGGAAGGAATAAGTCATTAAATAAGTTAGCCTTTTATAAACTAACAACCGAAGTATTCAGATGATGATGAGATCCAGCTTACCAAATGAATAAACTTCTAGTACTTTTTTTGTCAGCGGAAGTCTCAAAATACATTAACTCTTATTTTAGGTCATCTAGATCAGTGTGAATTTTTTGCTTACTCTGTTCAGTATGAAAGCGCATAAAATGAACGTTATCATATATTTATTTCTTTGATTACAAAAGTATTCTTTTCAAATGACAAATGGAAGACCACAATTGTTGACGAATCCTCTTTAATAATCATGTGGAATTTTAAGACAGCTATTGAAAGCATCGCAGTCTAGAAGGGTTTCTTTTTTAATACTCCTAACTTATAGCGTCTACTCTGTTGAAGAAAAAGGAACAATGTTTCATATAGTTACCACAGGGGTGACACTGAGTTTTGCAATTGAACAGGTATTGGTTTGGAGTGGACTAACTGTTTAAGGGTCACTCAAAGTGGAATACAAACATGATCATGGAAATTTTCCACATTAAGTTGCATATAACGCTCACAGTACACCTGTTGTTTATTTGATTATACGGTGTGCACCCGGCAGTTGTTAGGAACTGGTGAGCAGTAGGTTTTTTGTAGGGCTATCAGATTAAGGATATAACTGTGCAGTTAAAATTGAATATATCTTTAGTGGAAGGGGGGGGGGAAGACGACTGTATCACATATGAGATGAAAACACCTAATTATTTGATAAATATAAACTATCCTAACACATACTTTAGCGGCTATAAACTTATTCATATACAGGTTTAGCACGATTAAAAGGGGCTTTGGAAGAGTTTTTTACGAAGAAAAGGGATGAAGACCATGTAAGTAGTTCATTTATTTACATAATTCCGTTTCATAAAATTGTTTATTCATACTCTTCAGTTAGAGTGAATGTGTTCCCAGCAACCCTTCCTTTTTTATTATATCGATTTGTTAAACTCCGGCTTGTTTATTTCCTGATTACAAATTATCTGTCGGTATTCTTTAAGCCATGTGTTCAAAAAAGTATCTCAGATCTGTGGTTTTTCAAACTTGTTTCTTATGTGGCCGGTATTTTCATCTTCTGGCAAACCGAAGCTCTTCGAGAATATCCGTGCTACTTGATCACAACAGATTGAATCATTTTGTCATCCACTACATTCTTACGTACACCGATGCATCATCAACTGTTGTTTAGTAAGTGATTGTTTCTAACCAGTGACCTCATATTTAACACCCAGTTATTTTCCGCAACATCATGCAACTAACCACTACTCGATTGAAATGATTAAAAATGGGAGAAGCTTAGTCGCAGCAAGGCGCATCTAAAGTCTACAGGGAACTGATTTCCTTATCAGATGCCAGTCAGCGTCACCCAATGGTCCCGTCAGGAACGTTAACACTGAGCTATTTTGGCCGCTGCTGACATCCTGTAGGGTTAGATAACATGCATTGATCGATAACTGGAGAGCAACTAATTTCATGTCTAATCCTGAATGCTGACCGAATTCTATCAGTTATTTTTTGTAATGTCACCAAGCTGAGAGACAGCACCATAGTGCACCGTTAGTTGGAAAGTCACGCACTGTCGCTAAATGTCCAAGAACAGGACAGTGAATTGCCTCCCGAGAAAAGATAATATTCATTATAGAAGACAAACTTCTGTGATATATCCACCATGTGATATAGTATGGGGGAAAAGGAAGGAGAAAGCGATAAAAAGAAGTGTCCGAACAAGCAACTTGACAAGATAGACGCATTTTGCGTCTAGTTTCGTTGAACTTTTTTGAGAACTGTTCTGGATTCCAAGTTGCCGTATCGTTCGGTCTTTTTAACTTGGTTCAGGGGTTTGGATACACAAGTGGATCCTATTCCAACCCAACTACCCTTCGTCCGCTTCTTCCAACCGGTCCTAGGGCTCTCACACTGGACGGTTTCGAAGCTGATATGAGGGCACCTATAAATATTTCAGGTACTGCAGTAACTTATATCGTCTTACTTTGTGACTGCGAAATGGCTATAAAAGGTGGAGGTAATACTAACACAGGTGTTTGACCGATGGTGCCTCCGAAGCATTGATCTTTTTAGATAAAAGAGAAAAAATAGTGAATGGGTTTGCAAAGTTCCATTGACTTATGCGAGTGAAACATGTTTCTCTCCCCTAATTACTATCTATACCGAGTAGCAATCTCAGCTAAATTAGGAATTAGTTGTTGCTTAGTAGTGCTAGGTCCTATTTTGATACTGATTGATTGGAGATATAGAAATCTGTCCCTCAAGAAAATTTATGTGAGCAAGATGTGGCCTTCATCATGTCCAAGTACGATCTCTGCACTTAGCGATTACCTACATGATGTTTCCACTAGATGCGAACATTCAAAAACAATGATAGTCAGATGCACAGAGTAGTTGAACATTCCAAGCCACTTTTCACATACGTACAGAAAACTGTCCATACCGACATAATATGCATATTGAAGCTATGACTTAAAATGTGAGTACGGAATAGCCTAATAAGGACAGTTTCGTCAAAGCAACTCAAGATGAACTGTAACTGCTAACAATTTGTAGTAGTTAGATGAAACAATGATTCAGATATGAAGTAAAATGAAAGTGTAAGGATAAGAAGCAGAAGAAAAGGAGGATTCGTGTATGGATGCATTCCGTCAATACAACACTTTTTTCGAAATTGAGTCTCAGGAATTCAGAGCGGAAGTCATTATGACAGCATTTTGGGTCACCATTTCCGAAATTGTTACATTTTATTTCTACAACCTTCCAAAGCAGGAACGTATAAATTACTTCAACGAGATTTGGAATCGAAGTTCATGAGTTCTGGTTGAAGCGCTGCAAATGAGATCTTCCACTGTAGGTCCTAGGCCAAGGTGAAAGGTCAGGTTTCGACACTGCTGTCACAGTCCAGCAACATTCCACACCCTGACATCTGGCTTCTCATAGCGGAGAATGTCAAGCGACGTCATGTAAAATATCGTATCCTTGGTGCATCCGAAGGACTATTCGTATTCAGTGGTAATACCAAGTAACCGACAGATGACGTGGCATGCAGTTGGGTGTGTTTGAATTCGTCAACTACGATGTGCAGTCATTATGAAAAAACCGGTTACTAGGACTTGTATTAAAATATCATTCATTGCTTGCCGGTCTCCATCCATCCAAATCAACATAGGACCAGGCATTACTGCGTAACGGTCCAAGTTGCCACAGTAGATCAAGTGAGAAGGCAGTGAAGTGGAAGATGAAGAAAATTCAGTCAAAGGAAATATAAAGTACTAAAAGAGAGAAAGGAAGAATGAGAAAATGGTGGGATTCGGTATGGCGTCGTTAAAATGAGGATAATGTGTGTGTACGTCTGCGCCACTGACTTCAGTTCTGAGCCATATCACCTAGTGTCTTCAACCACTGGTTCCGCCGGCCCCAACTGGCTAGTCTGCATCGCCCCACATGGCTTGAACCAACAATCAGAAACTCCATACATTGGTGCCATATTTTGGTCTTGCCAACTCGGGCCTTTTTCCAGCCTGGATCTACTTCGGCCAACATTGTGTGACGAGGCAGTTGAGGACTAGGCACACGCAACGTGTCCAAACCATCTCAGTCGCTGACTTGCCTTTTCTCCGTAGAACTTTACACCTGACGTCTGCGTTACTCACCTGGTGACATCACGGAATACGGCCTATACTACAAAGGCAACGGTGGTCAGACACCTGAAGCCTTCTCATGTCTTCCACTTCCAATGGCCATGTTTTACACTCATACAGTAGAACAGACCGGACTGCTGTAAAATACACACGACCCTTAATAGACAGTCAGATATCACGGCGGCGCTACATTTGGTGAGAGCCAACCAAGCCTTTTATATCCGTGCATATTTCATCGGCCACTGAGCCACCAGTGGATGGATGCTCGACGGTGAAGTTTAGTTGGTTTGGAATAATGCAGTCGAAATCGTTTATTGGGAAAAAACAAATGGTATTAGTGAAATTTCCATACGTAGCTACAATTTGCAAATTATCTCTTCTGAAATATATTACGCTCTTAATTGTCCTTCGTGTTGTCATGCTGTATTGTGTGTTCCTTTTGACTGATTCCTCACTCATCCGTCGTCGCTAAATATACTGATTGCACGCATCCTTATAAGCGGATCTCGGTCTCACTACTCAGAGGCCTTATTATGTATGATTGGGAATCGAAAGCAGAGGTGATCATTCAGAGACTTGGTTGTTCCTTCTGTTATCGAGAAAATAAAACGAAAGTGGTGAGCGCTTCATTTTACGTACTCCCTAGAATGCTTCTTTTGTAAATGGTCTACTTTCTCACTTTAGTATTCCGTTTTTATATTATATTTCGAGCATTCCTTATTGCCAATGCTATACCAAGTATATGCAATAAATCAGAACTAAGCTGAAAGTCGAATATGATTTCGCAATATATTTGCACCTCTACTGATTTTATATGCTGTTTCTCTCTTATCTTAGGTCGTCACCGAATCAGAAGTTAGAGCGTTTTTTGAAGATTTTCGCAAACACAATCAATTATAACTTGAACACGACTGGGAAAATTAAATGGCATTTTGTACATTGATAGCACTGTGTATACTCAACTTGCATTGAAGTAACAACGCCATCTTGAGTGAAACGTGTTCAATCATTGCTTTGTTACACTAATTAAATGGAATAATGTCTGCTTTAGTTTCATGAATTTCCTTAGACTAGGGTTTTGTACGAGTGTCTGTGGAATGTCTTTTAGAAAGATAACCATGGTACATCTAATCCTGTCCTAACAAAGTTGCTGGGTTTTACGCTGAACTCATTTCATCACAGGAACGAACTGCATCCCGAGTTCTCACTGTTGAAGACCACATGCTGTTTGCTGGTGCGCTACATCACAGTAGTCAAGCAAAAAAATTTACAACAACTAGCTGGTATATGCCCTGTTACATGAAAATGTAACTCAATGTTTATAGAAATGTCCTCTAACATGAGCGATACCAGGCAAATTAGTCAGCATCCCAGGGAAGTTTTCAAATTATGCGCTTGAGGTCGTGTCAAAAATGCGAATGTCAGGATTGGATTACTGAGACGTTTGGCATTCCATAGACCAACGAGCCACTGTACGAAAGAGAAGTTTGACTTGCAAACAAACAGTTGTATGAGTTCTGCACTCAGAAACTGACGTTAACAAATTCACAACCCTCTTCACATGGTCAGAGTTTGACGGAAACCAAACAGTAAAACGAATGCAACTGAATATGTTTATTCACAGATATTAACAATTTATAGATGTCTGGTGATATGCAGCTATAAACAATCTTTAAGTTACCTCCTTTTTCGCAGGGGAATTGGCTGCCAATTTTCTCATTTTAGCTACGAAGAACCCATCCACATTGTGTTTGTGTGGATAGAAACGTCGAACACGGCTCATGTGGGGATGAAAATGATAACCTTTGAATCTATCAGAACAATTATGTTTTAGTAAACGTTCACCTACGCTGTGAAACCCTTCTCACCAAACAGTTTCGTTTCTTCCAAACGTACTTTTCGTCGTTTTAATGCGAAATTGACCACATTTTCATTCTCTTCAACCTAGTTATAAACAAACAAAAAGTGTATTACTTTCCAAAAATTTCATCATCAGTAAGTACACACTTAAAAACTGGTTGAATAACGAACAGTTTACGAATCCAGTGATCTTTACATTGTTACGTACGCCGTTATTCTTGCAAGTAGATACACTACTCATCGTTCGAAGGTTGGCTAGGGGTTTTATTGCAAGATATGCTAAGTCATGAATGTAGCTCGAAATTTACGCGAAGTGGAAGCTGCCTGTAACTAGTTCGAAGGGCACGTAACTGATGTGTATCAGTAAACAATGAGATGACATGATTTACAAGTCCGCCCTTAGATCGGCTTGAATAAGTACGTGCCGGCATAATCGTAGACATTGTGCATCTGTAGGTTTTTCGCATACGGTTTGTAGATTAAAAAAATCATTTCAGTAGATAGTTATGAATATGGGGTCTGACAATGATGTGTTGATCCGTGTGGCTGCACTAATGAGTCCAACTAAGTGGGAACATTTGTGTCGATATTTGCAGGAAACAAGAGGATAGTGAAAGGAATAAAGGCAAATCATACGGACACAGTGACAATACAATGTAAACTACTTAAAGTGTCCTGTCAACGACTACGGTTGCCAAACGCCTATCAACAGTAAATCAAGAAGTGGTGCATTTATTTTATTTGGTTACACTTGACTTTTTCCGGCCCAACCTCGCTTTGTGCGCGTAAAACTCAAACAAGTGACTCTTTTCATCGAAGACTACACGTTAGTTACGCAATAGATAGACGACGTATGGTAGTAACAGTAGTTTAAAATCTTTCCGTGTCACTCACTTTTGGTGATCGATTTCGTCGGCCACTGTAGGAGTGGGCGAAATGTTCCGCAATCAGTTTGGGCGATGCTTGCGAGAGGTAGGGTTATTAGGTGAAAGCTGTTTTATCTACTTGTAAATGTACCAAAAATTCGTAGCCAATAAGGTAACAGGGTTATCAGATAGGGTATTAAGTCAGACCGCTGCCAAAGAAACACGATATCTGCGAGGAACGGATCTCAGACATTCTTTTAGCGTGCAGGGCCTTATATTTTGTTGACATTATCAACTTACTTTAAGTCGTTCAAGAAGTCTACGGCGACCGTCTAATCATGCGTATTACCTACTTAATTATTACAATCCTATCGAATATGACTGGTTCTTGTCACTAGCCTGCTGTAGAAAAAATGGTAAAACAGCATGAGGCTTGAACTATAAAATGTGTGAAGACGCATTGCTGGTCGCACTAATTAAGCCACCCAGAGCTCTTCAAAACGTGTTTGTATAATTATGTAGTATCTAAACATACACTGCATACGTTAAATTTGATTGGTCGTTAGCTTCTACCTAATCATGGTGGTTGGGTATGCATGCTTCCAATGACCTAAGCTGATGGGGAGAAATTGTTCTTCTGCCGCCCTACAGTACCAGCAAGGTTTGCTGGGTAGTGGTGGGAAAAAAGGCAGTAACTGTTATGGCCGAAATAGCTACGTTATGAAGGTGGAAGGGTGATCATTTTCTCTTACTTAATTTAGGCATAGGAGTGTTTGTAGGGTTCTCCCTCTTGGCGTCTTTACACTACAGTGATTGACCTTATCACAAGACGGTTTTTTGTGGAGTTGTGGCTCATCATTTCAGGGAGTTGGGCCACGGGCTCGAACACTAACCTACCTATCAAGGTTAAGACAACCAGATGTTCACTGTCATCGTTCCTGTTTAACTTCGTCATAGGTTCATTAATAGACGTAACGTTAGCCATCTCCGACTTTGTAGAGGTTAGTCTACTCTCTGGAGGGCATCTGAATGACTCGAATTACGTAGATGACATTGTTTTGTTGTGTGGAAACGTTCACAAAATGTAGGATCTTCTGAACGCTTTATGCAGAAATCGGAGTGTCTGGTATGCACTTCGCACTGGTCAAGTGAAACATGATGCGCCAGAACTGGTCTGCAACTGCTGCCAGTTTAGGAATAGAGAGTAAAGTGGTAGAATGAGTTGACCACCTCGCTTACTTGAGAAGCTGAATCAACCGAATAGGCTGGTTGCAGATAAAATCTTAACTGGGATACGCAAAGCGCGCTTGGGACTTGCCAATTTGCGTCGTTTCCAGTGCCGACAACATATCCAACTATATGTTAAAGGATGAGTATACTACACTGGAATATGCATTTTGACGTATTACGCGGCTGAAAAGTGGCTGTTGGAACTAGAAGATGAAAGGGGATTACACTTTTTTTGACCTCAGGCGTACTCGACGAGTTGCTTGCATGCGGTGAAAATCACCGTGTGAGTAATGTCGAGCCTAGGTGAAAATGACTTCGCAAGGCACTGGTCCATGAAGTTGGACTGTTGATCTAAGTCGTGTAAGGAGGGTGCAGACTACCTAGCTGGTAAAAATCAATGTTTATTGACATTTTTGGAAATCAGGTGCAAGTGTTGAGATGTATACACAGTGAATACAGTTTCCAATAATCTATGACCTACTTATTTTCTATCCTATCAAATGCATCCTTACCTTTGTGTCATTCGAATAAATTAAGAGACTACCACAATGAGTGTAGGGATGTAGGCCAACGATAAGATGTAAGTCCACCTATTAGGCAGTAAACCATAAGGATTGTTTAAGGGATAGTGATACTGCATGGCTGCCGAAATTTCGGTAGGTGTGGCTGAGTTTAGATCCGTAACAGACTGGTTGAAATTTAAATGCCTACATCAGTAAGCCGTTGCTTTACAAACCTTATTCGTTACATCTCTTTGAAAAAGCTAAGGCATATGAGAAAACTATACATATTTATAATTAACTCACCAATATGGAGCATGTGGAATATACAATGTAACCTCCAACTTTGCAAGCATCAATCGCTGCTGTGAGTAACCTTTTCTGCAACTCCACGCATTTGTGTATCTCTCCGTTATTCTTATTGGTTTTTACAGAGGGATCTTTAGCAATGATTCCGGTACCTGAGCAGGGTGCATCAACGAGTACTCGGTCAAAATTAGACATAATCTTCGGAAATTTACGACCGTCTTCAGTACATATGACAGTATTCGTTACACCCATACGATGACAGTTTCCAAGTAATGCTTTAGCTCTGTTGGGATTTATTTCATTAGCGAAGATGGTTCCAGTATTCTTCATGATTTGTGCTGTAAATATGAAGAAAATCACAAATTAATATCACTTCAAAAAGTAGTATTTGTGTAAAACACTTACTTGGTGCAGCATATGGACCAAGAAATGCATAAAATGCAGCAAGATCTCACTAAACTGATCATATAATTCACACAAATATTCCTAAAATGATAACCATAGGGGAATCCGTCAGACAAACACAATGTCTAAGATCGTTAGTCCTTTAATAATTAGATGTCTAAGCAAAGCTTAGGAACACAAAATTTTGAGGAAAGTGGACAGGTTTTAGATCTGGTTACGGATGTATCGATAAAATATCCAGTCTCCGAGTTCTGGGGCACAGGTACACTCACCGGCGTTACACGTCGTATTTCTTTATTTGGAACAGGTATTCAACTCCATGGGTCGAGGTCTTATGGCACTGTCTCTTCCTGAGGGGTCCTGATTAAATGCGTCATGTTGAGGGCTCTGCACCAAAAAGCTCGTGGATGTGTCTATGATGTCTATCAAGTAAGTTGTGGACGTCGAGTGATGTTTATATAAGGTTTTTACTCCTACTCCTACCTAGTTTTGTCACAAGTGCTTGTAGGGGTTTCTTTCTCGGCATCTGACGCTACAGAAATTGATCTAGTCACAAGACGATCTTTTGTGGAGTTGTAGCTCGTCGCTTTAGGCAGTTGACATTCGACCAATGGGTCACAGGTTCGGACACCGCTCCACCTACCGAAGTTTAGAAAGCCAGGTAATATCATTAGCCTTCACACAATAGATTCACCTCATTTTCAGTTGCACAAATGAGCAGAAGTTTGGTGAGTGCAGCTCGATTTCGAAGAGAATCGTTAGTAGGTCTGGAGTATGCAGATAAAATAGTCGTGTTAAAAAAAGACCCTGACACAATAGTCTTTTGCACAACTTGGGGAATGTTTGGGATGCGTTTCCAGTCACCCAAATACAAACTGTAGCTCCAGGACCAGTGGGCGTTAGCGGTTCGTCCAACAAAAAAGAGTGAAGTGGTTGGGTGATTTCATAATATCACTTAACTGGGAAGTCAGATCAGCACTGGTGCGTCAAGGACCGACAAAATTTTCGCACGGATATAAAAGACTCCTTTAGACCTCAGCAGCTCGCACCATCTATGGCGCAACTGTTATGTCTGATTGTCTATCAAGGGCCGGGTGTGGTACTCTTAAGTTTTCTTTTCCCTCACTTATGGTTGTGAAATATACCTATTATTACAGGTGGATAATATGAGAAGGTTCCAACTGACGTCGCCTTCATAGCATAGGCCTTCATGATGGCACCATGTTTGTAACGTAGAATTCATAGGCAAAGTTTAAGGTTGGAGAAGATACTTAGTTGATGAAATTGTGAACCATCGGCGGTTGAGGTGCCTGGGACTTGGTTTGAACTACGTAGAGGAATATAGACTTTTCGGTTGGGGTGCACACGACAACAGAAACCCGTGGTTCGAGACTACGTGATATGGCTCGGAGTCGATCTCAATGGCGCAGATGTATCCACATATTACCTTAATCGTTTCAGTCTTCTCTCATTACTCACTGCTCTCTCTTGATGATCTATCATTTCTGACTGCTTTCTTCACTCGCTGATCTTTCATCTTAGTGCATTCTCGCTTGATGTGCTGACACGACGTGTGGTAGCTTGAACCATAACAAAGTAATGCCTGGTCCTAAGTTGTTTTGTGTCTTGTTTTACCTCAAGCTTCTTGTTCATTCGCTTCCTGATGAAACTAAATGAATTTGTTTGATTTTATTAGTTTGATGCAATATTAAAATCCAATCAAAACCTGAAAATAAATATGTTAGATGCTAATATAGATTTAGCACTGCAGTGAGTGTTTTAAAAAGCTGTGTGCAGATCCAATCTGATTAGTACACTCGTAGCTGGGTTTAAAAAAAAATAGTGATTGTGATTGAAAACCGACCGATAGCTGCCACCTTGACGTAGTGGTCGGACTTGTATATCACAGTGACCCAACGAGCTATGCTGGTGGAACGCTTGTTCCCTCGAGGTCCTACCATACCAGAAAGATCTTGTTGGATAGTAGTTAGATGAAAAGCAGTTACTGTTGTGGTGTAAATTACTACAATATGATGGGGGTCAGAGGGCGAAGTCGTACTGCTGCTAGCTGGATGGGGTGAAGCAGATGTCCGATGGGCTCTGCGGTCACACAAATCTCTTTCAGGTACCTTAAGAAGAAATAGCCTTCCACGGTGTGGGCAGCCGGGAAGTGTCAACCGCCCTCACAACTCTGTCAGCACCCAAGTTTCTTCTGACTGCTATCCTCCTCCTCCATCATTACCTTCTAATCTTCCTTCACGTCTCTTAATTAATGATGCTGCATCATCTTCAATTTCTCCTACCTCTGCAGCCTTCGACAACGATCTGAGTCCACAGAACAGCATCCCTGGTCTCCTTAAACCACGCTCCAAATTACATATTGGAGCCTTCAATGTCCGCACCCTCCGTCAAATTGGCCAACAGGCTTCGTTGGCAAAGACTCTAGCAACTCGGGCATGGATGTGTGCTGTGTTTGTGAGACACGCATACAGGACCCAAGTGTGGTTATTCACCTGACCTCTCCTGACCAATCTGGTGAATCTGCAAAATTCACCCTTCGAGTTTCTGGAGATTCGATAGCTAGCTCTCGTGGTCTTGCAGGTGTAGGTATAGCATTAAGCACCAGGGCAGAAAACTCACTACTAGACTGGATCCCAGTTGATAGTCGCCTCTGCGCTATGAGGCTGAACGGCACAGTGAGAACTAAAAGGAATAGTGAGACTCGCCGTTGTCTCTTTGTAATCTCTGCTTACGCACCCACTGACTGTAGTTCGGATGAAGTGAAGGACGAGTTCTACCATAAACTGTCTAACCTCCTCTCGAAAGCCAAACGTTCGGACGTAGTGGTTGTTGCAGGTGACCTCAACGCACAGGTGGGTAGACTGAGTGAGGCAGAAAGGCACTTAGGTGGCACTTTCGGAATCCCAGCTGAACGTACAGATAACGGTGATCGCCTATTACAACTATGCTCAGATAACCGCCTATTTTTAGCCAGCACAAATTTCAGACATAAAGAAAGGCACTGTCTGACCTGGCGTCCACCGAGCTCGACTCAGCGATGGACACAGATAGACCACATTGCTATTAGTCATCGCTGGAGAGGATCGGTGGAAGACTGCCGCTCCTTCTGGAGTACGTGTTTGGACAGCGATCATGCGTTGGTCCGAGCACGTATATGCCTGCGTCTCAATGGACGTAGAAAAAATTTGGCAACAAAACCACTACGAGTTCTGCTGGACAACGAAAACACCAAAGCCGTGTTCAGTGAGAAGTTGGCTAGGCAGTTATCGGAACAAAAGACTGTCACTCATCCAGAAGAAGCTTGGTGCCATCTTCAGTCTACTGTAAAAGCAGCACTGGAGACTGTAGCCGACTCCAAGATAATGGCTAAAAAGAGCCAGTGGATATCAGCAGCTTCTTCCAAACTAATGGATGCACGTGAATGCATCCCTGCAGGCTCTGAGTACAATGAAGAGCGAGCGCAACTTAAAAATAAACTGACGAAAAGTCTGCGCAACGATCGTGAACAGTGGTGGGCAGCAAAGGCTAAAGAGATGGAAAAGGCAGCGGCGATCGGTAACAGTAGACAGTTATTTAGACTTATTAAGGAGACTGGGGGGAAATGGTCAACAACAGTTAGTGAGGTTATAGCGGAGAAGGACGGATCTGCGATTCACTCGCAGGGAAGGCGACTGGGACGATGGGCAGAACACTTTGAGGAACAGTTTAACTGGCCTCCAGCCACCATTGCGCTGCCCGCTATCCAGTCGGACCCTGAATGGGACATAGAGACAGGTCCCCCAACACTAGAAGAAGTTGAGAAAGCGGTAGGTAGCCTGAAACGGGAAGGGCAGCAGGACCAGACGGACTACCTGCTGAGGTATACAAGAATGGTGGTAGAGTTCTCTTAGTCAGGCTAACGGAAGTGTTAGCCAGTATATGGGAATCAAATACGATCCCCTCCGACTGGTCTAAGTCACTCATCATCCCAGTCTTCAAGAAAGGCGAGAAGTCCTCTTGTGATAACCACAGAGGAATCAGCCTGACAAACATAGTGTCTAAGATCCTAAGTTCTATAATTCTCCGACGCCTGAGTGGAGCTCGGGAACAGCAAGCCCGAGAAAACCAGGCAGGCTTTAGACCTGGCCGTGGATGTATCGACCAAATATTCACACTGCGCCAGGTCCTGGAACATAGGCATGCTTACAGACGCCCGACAATAGCTGTATTTCTCGACCTGAAGGCGGCATTTGACTCCGTTGATCGAGAAGTCTTATGGCAGTGTCTGTCACTGAAAGGCGTGCCTAGTAAGTACATCACCTTATTGAAAGCTCTCTACTCGAACACTTGTGGGCATGTTAGAGCCTATGGTGAGTTGTCCAGGGAGCTATACTCATCAAGTGGTGTCCGTCAAGGATGCCCACTATCCCCATTCTTATTTAATTTTATCATAGATATTCCCTCTCGTCACCTAATTACAAAGACGTTGACCGATCACAGGTGAATTTTCCTTAGATCTAGAATATGCAGATGACATAGTCCTGTTAGGTGAAGACGCTGACAAGATGCAGAGTCTTCTGAACACTTTGAGTGGGAATTTGAGAATGTTTGGGATGCGATTTTCACCACCCAAATGCAAATTTTTGCTCCAGGACTGGTCTTCAGCGGTACCGCGGTTAACAATAGAGAGTGAAGTGGTTGAGTGTGTTGACCACTTCACTTACCTGGGAAGTAGGATCAACCCGGTGGGTTAGTTGCCGATGAGATTTCTGCACGGATACAAAAGGCTCGATTGGCTTTTGCCAATTTGCGCCACCTATGGCGCCGCCGTGATATTCGTTTGTCTATTAAGGGTCGCGTGTACTGCACAGCAGTCCGCTCTGTTCTACTGTATGGCTGTGAAACATGGCCATTGAAAGTGGAAGACACAAAA